GACAGGACACGGCCAGAATTCACTTCTGTGCAACATGAGTGTTTGTAGACAAGGCCCTGGAGAATCCAAGGGAGAGAAATTTCATGGCCAGGTCAAGTCAAGAGCATTTCATGAGTTTGGCTGATACAGTTTAGACAATGAGATCTCGAAACATGGGTCAGCACCGCAGGGCAGAATGAACAAGGTGGCTTTGGCTCTTAAGTGGCTTGTGGCCTTATAGCAGTAGAACAGAAACTATACAAGCAGCTTCTTGCACTGCTAGTGTCTCTGCTGAAAACAGTTTTCAGGTTTTCTGTTTTTCCAGATTCCATTTCTCCCCTCTTTCAACGCATATGTTATAGAAACCCTTGAGCGCAGCAGCCAGAAACAAGTGCTCAGACCACCTCCATGATATTGAATGACTTTGGCATACAGACAAATGATGAGTTGTTACACTAATTTTTTCTAATCTTCAAAGAATCACACTGCAAAGAACGCTCCCAGCGCAACCTTCCCCCTGCAGCACCAAAACCAACCACTCAGTTACAACGGGCAGCCCTGTTGCACAGCATGGTAGCAGACATGACAGCTGAAGGTCCCAACTTTTCAACTTACAAAAGGCTCAGCACAAAACTGAGGTACTCTCTGAAAGGCCTGGCATTTTCAAGTGGAGCCTCAATGAGTTTTGGTGCTGCTCTGCTACCTGTGGGAGTGGGGTCCTGCTTCTAAGGCGCCTTTGGGGAAAAAAAAAATCCTCTCCTGTGTCTCACTACTGGTGTAGACTACACCCATGCTAATAATGTTTTTTTACAGGTAGACATTTGACCTGACTTCTGGGAAACACATCCTCTTGTAATCCCTTGTATCTGCAAGAGCTGGATCCTGACCCGCCAAAAAGGTTTTTATTCCCATTTTTTTAAATTCAATGATAAGCACGAGAGAGAAGATCTTAACCACAAGACTCCTTCCCTGCACTTTGTTCCTGCTCCATGCAAACCCATCTTCACTCAGCATGACTGGAGCAGCAAGTCTGGCCAGAAACAGCTTTGAAGCAAAGTGGGTGAAGATTTTTTCAAAGTGAGCCTGAAAAGACAGCTAGTAATTAAAGTCTCTATGCATACTTTGAGCCACAGATGGCCTAAGAAGAAATGCACTGGCCCCTGGCCCCTGCAGGATCCCACCCCTGCAGCGCAAGGGTTCAGCAAAAGCTTCAGGTCTCAAAAAAATGCAACCAAAGAAAAAAAAAAAAGGAGGAAAAAAAAGGCAGTGCTGAAGATGATCCCCAATACAACAGGCGTCCCTGATTTTAACAGCCTTCAGCACAGGCCAAGGAAGTGCAAACTGCTGTGGTCAGAGCTGGTGGCAAAGTACTCACCAGAAGGAATTCAGTTTTGAATTCTGGCTGAGAGCTTTAAACCAGCTCCAAGGGTGTCAGCACTTGAGGCTTTCATATGGTTACAGGAAGGAAGAGCAGAGTGTCTGTACAGGTGGTGCCCTGGTGCACTGACAGAAAATAGTACTCCAAAATGTGCGTGCCCCTCAAAGCCTGAGAAAATCAGAAGGGAGGTTCCCAATAGAGGACACACATTGCAAACAGGTTTTAGGCCAAGAAAAATCACTTGGATGTCAGCCCTGCTGTGAATATCTCAGCTCTGTAGGAGATTTCATGGACAAATATGCAGAGCAAATATAATACATGGCTTATATATAATGACGCATGTAAAAAGCCTAGTAGTCTGAAGATAAAGGAGGCCTTGAATCATATCTTATTATGCTGCACCCTAGTTTAATCTGGTGTTAAATATACTGCTTATGATACACAAATTACTTTTAAAAGTTAATAAAATGTTACAACAACAATAAAATAAATGAATTCAAGTTTTGTGCACAAACTTACAAGAAAAAAATTTTTGTTTTAGGAAGCTTCAGACAATGTTTTGAATATCGTGGTAACTTCCTACCACTGTTAACAAGTGTCAGCAAATTTTATGGCCATAATTTAATCATGCAATTAAATTAATCTTTATTTCAGGAAAAAAGAAAATCAACACTCTGAACCCACCTCTCTCCAACCTCCTCTCAGAAAAACAGGTGGGTTTCTCTCTATCATATCCAGAACTAAGGTTATCTGAAGCCAGCGGTTTTTGCAGATGCCATCTGTGTAGCTCCCACCCTATGCAGAGAGCTCACTGACAAATTCTAGCAAACTCTGTCTCAACTTGCTCAAAGCCTCCTTTGAGACTAAAAGAAATAATGACATTCATTGAATCCAGGCTTGATTGTTCAACACCTGCTCTGCACACAGAGAAGATGTTTGTTTTGGTCACTACGAGAAAAAAAATTGTATGATTTTGTCTCCATTACGAAAATAATCTAACGCACAGCATAAACTTGTACAATTTTAGCAGCATTTTACAGTCCTTCATAAAGTAAAACCAGGAATGATTGAAAAAGAATGCTTGCATCCACCTCATTTAAAATACCAAATATCACGGGCAGTAATTGTTGAAGCATCAGTCATAATCAGTAAAATTTGGGTCCAACAATTAACTCAGCATGGAGAATACTGCAGCAAATAGATCAGATTAAACATTTTCTGGCAAAGTAAATATATTTACAACTCTTATGTACAGCTTCTGGACTTATAAAACAATGGAGAGCTAGAAAGTTGTGTAAAGTCAAGTTTTTAATTAAAAAAAAAAAAAAAAAAAAGCACTTGTCCAACTGCTTTGGAGACACTTTGGCATGCCAAAAAAGGCCTTTTTTTTGGTTCATTGTAACTCTTATAAAACCAGCAGATATAATGCATCAGTGAGGCCAGATGTCCCGGGCAATATAGCAAGTCTCTGTTGTGTCTCTGATGTTAGCTATTTGGTGAGCCAATATCCACTGTGATCTTTGTATACAGAGGGTACTTGTCAGTTCTTAATACCTTGTAGGATAGTGTATTTAGACCGTCAGAGCTCATTGTCTCCCTTGTGTGAGCAATTCGGTCAAACCTGCAGAAGGGGTGGGGGGGGGAAGAAGTTAAGGAAGGTGGGGATGGAAACAACAAAGAAAGAAAGGGAAAAAAATTTGTTTAGAACAGTCTGAACTTTGCATGCCTCTCAGGCAGCATCTCCGGTATTTCAAGAACAAACCGAGTATCAGTATGAGTCCCATAAACTCCCAGATTTGATCAGCCTGAGCCGTGGGCAAAGGCATCCCTATGGGGTTAAATTTTAGCTAGGAATAAGCAGCCAAGCTTTTAAATCACACAGGTCCTTTTCTAGCTTCACACTAGAGCAGAGGTTTATACCACAAAGACAAACTAGAAACAATTGCTCTGAGCCTAATTTGCATTTAAGAAATGAAAAGGCAGAGGCCTTTGTGCCATAAGTGCAATGTTGGGGAAAAGCTCTATAATCAGGTGACAAACCGACAAGGGGAAGGGGGCAGCTTAGGGTGCAGGGACCAGAGAGCTCACTCAGGGAGGAGATGACTGCAGGCTTTCCACAGTCAAGCTGTTTACACTGCAGAGAAAGCCAAGCAGCAGCAGGGGCAAGGGTGGGAGGCACCCCTCAGACCTGCTGTGGGATGGGGGCAGACACACCTCTCGGGGTTGGGTTCGTTCTTCCTGTCCCG